TGAAGCAAGCACACGCTTTGCACATTTTTTTAAACGTTTAAGTAAAATTGCTATGACTTTTCCGCCATTTGCTTCCTTTGTTTTTGCATTTGTTAATACGGCAGACATAGAAAGATATCGTATTTCGAAAAAACTTTACCGATCAATAAAAATAGCTTGAAAAAAAAAAAAAATCATTTATAAATTTGTTTCTAAATGGCTTAGTGAATTTAAGTTCATGTGCACCGGAATGTGTTAGTTTGCAGTTGAACTATTAATGCTTACAAACGTCATAAATTCGTCCACCTTGTGTTTTTGAAAAAAAAAAGGAATGCAGTTGTCATTGCCTAGATACGAACAGAGCTAGGCACAAGAGTTTTATTTAAAGACTTAGGTATATGTTAAGCAGACAAAAGATTAATAAGAATAAGGAAATAATTTCGTAGCGCGCTTTCTCTGTTAGCACCTACGATTTGACATATTCCAGAGATGCAATATATATTTCTTGAGTTAAAGACTTAATTATTGACCGGATATTCAAGATTCCATCACATCCTGTGCAATGCACAAAGAGTTAATGAAGGGGGAAGTACGGTTAGTGCTAAGGTGTTTGCTTCTCGAGCGAGTCCGCAGATTATCTGAATACTCAAAATATTGATTTGACGATATGCCCATCAGGATTAACCCGCATTTACTAATTTTAATGAAAAGAGAATCTAAACCAATCGTTAATTGCTCAAATCAAGTTTAAAAGCGAATAAGAAAGTTATAGCCGACGGTGGCCGATTCCCGCATACTTACCCCTATGCTTTTTGCATTCCGCTCTCCAAGTTTTTGTGTTTGATACCCATATCGCTGGTCTTATTAAGAAAAAAGTAATCGCGGTGTCCATCATATTCATTTTAGAATCAACCCATTCTTAAGCAGACAATACATCTTCATTTGAGGAGTGCACCAAATATTCTGCCTTCTCTGCCTTATGATAACTAAGCTAAATAAAATGAAAAAAAATTAGATTTACTTATCTGTAACCTTGTGTGGACATGGCCAACTTCTTCCATTTTCATACGTAGAGAGCAGAGTGTTTCGTAAGGTAAATGTGGAAAATTTTAGCGTTCTAACTTTAATAATTTCCAAGTAACGAGCAAACGAGTTGCCAGTTTCCACTCCACTGCTGGCTTCTGCTTTTCCCTATTTGACCCATTTTCAATACCAACCTGCGTGCAGAAGCTTCCAATATTGCTCCCAAATTTGAAGTCAATATATTCATTTATGCAAGCAGAAGAGTGTTAACAACACACACCATACAGACGGACGGACATGGCTAAATCAGTTCCAGAATTTCACGCTGATCGAGAATATATATATTTTATAGGGTCTCTAAAGCTTCCTTTTGAGTGTTACATACCTTATGGAAAAAAAAAAGAAGGGTTTTACCCCATCTTACAGTAGTGGGTGTGATAAACAAAGTCCGATAGTAACTGAACAGTCTTTAACAACTTAAGAATTTTAAAACTTACGCACATGCCTAAATCGATTCAAAAAAAGTTCCAAATCACTTAGTATAATAAGAAATGTGTCTATTTAAGTCATACCAGCTGTTACATACATCCACATGACCTTAATATACTCTCATTGTAACTGTTGTAGTGTAATGACCACAACTGGTGCAAGCCATAAGGACAAAAATAGAACACGATCTTAGAAGTTAGATTGAACCTCTTTAGAATTAATGTCACACGGACACACATAAGCTAACACATCATTCTTCATTTCCCAGGGCTTCAGTAACAAAGTGTTCACATTATTTTTACGAAAGTGTCAACGTTCAACTGTAAACATTTATCGATTTCAAACGATGACGTTGGATAAAATAGACACTGAAAAGAAGTGATTACTAATTCTCAAAACTCGAAAATTCAATTTGCAAATGCAGACCGCATGCTGAAAATGCCAAAGAGAAAATTAATCACTATTTTGCATGAAAATTTGTACATGAGATGCGTACCGCATCCAACTGAGATGTCCTATATAGTAAAGAATGTAAAGGAAAATGAGAGCTTGCGTGAGCAGGGAGAGGATGTGGTTAAAATGACAAATACCAGTAATGATGAAATGATGTTACAATTGAAAAGATCCCACAAAGAAGATCCGATGGTGTGTAAAGACCTCTATCTTTACTTACAAGAATTGAGCTGCACGATAAGGGAAAGCCTGTCGTCATCAAGGACCAAAATTACGTGACGGACGGAGCAGAAGTAAATGCAACTATAATGTAGACTCTTCATCTCGGGTGCATAGAATAGATTAAAATGCTATTAACGACCCAAAGCTATCCGTTGCAGGCATGAAAATGGCGCTTGTGAAACTGCCTAGCAAAGTGGCTGCGGACTTACTACAGAAGACAAGGACAAAAATTGGGCAGACGATCCATAGAGAATGCGTCTGTTAGAAGTTTCAAATATCTTGAATTTGGGCATATAGCGAGAGTCTGCAAAAGCAAAATCGCCAGGAAATGTTTTCTAACTTGCAATAAACCGGGACATAAAGCTAAGGGGTGCAAAAGTGACCCAGAATGTGCCATCTGCGATGAACGATTGCCAAAAAAAAAAGCCACTCTATAAGCCTCGTCCCACATATCAAATAATATATCGTTATTATCTTTGTTTTCAGATATATGATGCCATTGTTGTAATTAATGTTATATTATTATCAATAACCGTTATTAACATTTAAATGTTTCGAAAAATAAATTCGTGAATTTATATCTTTAAATATTCATTTTAGCTTTTGGTTGTTCAAACAATAAACATAACATGTTACAGTCATTTATTCGCCATAACGAGACCTTCACAAAAAACAGAGAGAGAACAGTAACATTAAACACAATGCGAAGAATACTGAGCGTAACATAAGTGCAGAGTTGACTCTTAACTCCATCGATCTGTTATATAACAAAATTGCCACCACATCGGTTAAACTTTCACCATTGTCCCGATGCATGGTTTATTCACATTCCTAGTAAGCAAGTAACATACGAAAATAAAATTACTTCAATGTCACAACAAGTAATCACATTGGTCCTAGACGTTATTCAAAGTCCTCCAATTAATAATAGATATCAATTTTTAAAACACCAGCTCATTGAAAGCTTTTCTTTAACAAAAGCAAGTAAGGACATTACAGTCGGGCAAGACCGACGATTAAATGCTCTAAAAATTTGTTTAACAATTCTTATTTTTATTGTAGAACGCAAACTAATATAGTACAACTTTAATCCCTACAAAAATAGGTGCAGATGGTTCCACATTTTGTAGACTTCATTTTTGAATTGTGGGTCAATTTTCATCAGCACGTATTAAAATTTAGACTTTGATGAATTTTCGTAAAAATCCCTATTAGGGTAACATACAAAAAATAGGCCGATATCTTTCAAAATGGGTACAGTTGATCTTTTTATGTTAAATTACTATTATGACATAATTTTCACCATGAAGCACTGAAAGTTAAACCTCTTTGTCGTCTGAACATCCGTTTTCGTTTTATGAGAGGGTTCAAAAATTGCCCCAACCGATCCAAAGTTTTCCTATCCAATTTAGAATGCCGAAATACTAGTACTTAATCACTTTTGCCGAGAAATTGGGAAAATTGTAGTTTTTATTATATAACGACTTTTCAGAATAATCCATTATATGGGGAAAAAGTGGGGCGATCTGAACCATTTACAATAGCGTTCGTTCTTGGGTCAAAACACGTCATTGTACTAAATTTCATCAAAATATCTCAAAAATTGCGACCTATAGCGTGAAGCAAAATTACATGGACAGACAACAGACGAACAGACCGGCTTAGATCAATTCGTACAGTACAGTAATAATAATTTAACATAAAAAAATTAATTGTACCAAATCTGGACCATCTTGGCTTATTTTTTGTATCCTCTCCTAGTAAGGATTTTTACGAAAATTGATCCTTTGCGGAGTAGAAAAGTCTAAGTTTTAATGTGTGGTGTGATGAAAATTGACCCATAATAGTAATTTCACAAAAAACTGAACTCTACAAAATTGTCATCCTGCCCTATGTAAGCAAGAAACATGTAGTGCAGTAAATTGCTTTTTTGGACCTTTTTGAAAAATATGCCTTTACATAGAAAGTAGATATAATTTTTGTGTTCTATAATAAAAATAAGAATTGTGTTAGACAATGTGGTGTAGAGTATTTAATGGTCGGTCTTGCCCGACTATATTGTTCTTACTTGTTTTATTTTTGGCGACTGTGACGATTCACAAAGCTTACTCGTCAAAGTGACGACTTTCAGTAAAAATAGTTACATAGTTACAAAACATCCGTTAATCCACTGTTAAGCTACAGAAAGTTTGAACTTATTTCATGATAATCAAACTAATTAGTTTGCTAGTGGTATGCTCTGTCTGTACTGTTGTAGGTTGTAAGTAAGATAATCTATGTAGTAAGTACGTTTAATGATGAGAATAATTAAAGAAAATAATACAAAAGATTTTCATCAGATTGAGCATTTCGCAAGACGAACTTTATAGTATATAATTGAATTTCATTTTGAAATTTTCCATCGACATCATTTCAATTCTTTTCTTCTTCCTGTAAAGCTGTGGTAATTAAACAAAAAAGTTTGTTCTCTCTTTTGTCTTACATACAGTAATGCTATGCAATTCAATTAATATAAATTGAAAAATAATTATTCCAAAAAATTGCAACAATCCAAAGGAAATGGAAAGGAAATATCACAAAGTAGAAAGCATTTATACTAAACAAAACAAAATTTAAAGAAAATGTAATAAGAATACGAGAATTGAAAAGTAACCGCATATCGTATCAAAACCAAAAAGAAGGGAAAACTGCATAGAAAGCGGAAACAGCAATTTTTCATAAACATAAATATAAAGTTGATGTAAAACGGACGCATAGGTAGACCGGCAGTTAGTGCTAAGTAAAAGTTATGTGACTTTTACCGGAAACATTTACTGAAAATGTTTCCGTTGACGTTCCTTTTGCAATTTATCAATAACTTGCCGGCCAACGCCTCATCGAGCATGATATATAACATCTCAATGGAAACGAATTGCACACAGTTAGAAGGTAATAAAGCTCACTTCGTAAATGAGGAGGAATGCGATTCGGTTTATACGCCACCTTCGCAACGTTCCGAAACCTACGTGATAGCTGTAATATTTATATTGATTATAATAGTGGGCGTTCTCGGTAATGGTACGCTTATTATAATATTCTTTAGACATCGTTCTATGCGAAACGTACCGAACACGTAAGTAGTCGGACGCTATTATCGCATCATGGATGCCTTTGTAATTTATATTAATTTTATATTTAGCTATATTTTATCATTGGCTATAGCCGATCTTTTGGTAATTGTTGTTTGCGTACCTTTGGCTACCACCGTCTACACATACGAGACATGGTCCTTTGGACGAACCCTATGCCAGGTTACCGAATTTTTCAAAGATGTTTCAATAGGTGTATCGGTATTTACTCTTACCGCCTTGTCCGGGGAACGATATTGCGCTGTAGTCAATCCGCTGCGTAAATTACAGGTTTTATGTACAAGTCAACCGCTAAAACCGATGATTAATCGATAGTCCTTCTTACACTAATTCACAGACTAAGCCATTGACCGTAATGACAGCGGTTATGATTTGGATATTGAGCATTCTGTGTGCTACGCCGCCGCTAATAGTAAGCGATTTGCAAGTCTACGAAATTCAACCCAACCTAAGCATATACGTTTGTTCGCCTTTTGGTAGTGAACGTGAAAATCTAGAAATTTACACCAGGTAAGAACAAAAATTTTTTTAAGTTTTTTCGTTTTTTTTTTATGATTTTTTAAACTTAATGAGCGCTTATACTATCTTCTAAATAGAGATACTTGACAATAAATTGCTATAGAAATCCGTTGTAAACACAACACCGTTGAATTGGCGGGGATCGTAAAAGGTGTTGTTTTCACGAATTTTTTGACAGGGGATTAAATAATACCATGACGTCTTCACACATAGATTCATTATGCTTTCACCAGGTTATTATGGCCAATCGCTTCTTGACTGCATAGCTCATAAACATAACCTCTATGAATATCATTTCAATAAGCTAGACCGCCCCACGGCGTCGACGGCTAACCAGAGAACCACTACTCGAAAGTTGAATTTCGATTTGGTGGTGACTTGTGCTGGATTTCAGTCTAATTAGCAGTTAGCGCTTTTTCCAATGAATAATCCCATTGATCGCCATTTTCTTCCACAATCCACTGAACATCATCATATGTTCTTCTTTTTTGTTCATCAAACAGTCACTTAGTTGAACACCCAGTTAAGGATCTTTTAGAGTAACATTTATAAGCTCACCGAGATCGTTCAAATAGCAATATTTTTGTCAAAGATTCATCTATAAAAAGTAACTTGATTTTAGACTAGAGGCAAAATCAGTGGAAAGCAACCGAAGTTAAATCATACATGCATGGCGCTTAGTGAATTTATAAAGCAAAAACAAAGACTTGTTTGCCCATAACTCTTAAGTCAACCTTCACTTAAGCGACTCATAAGATTCAAACAATCTTCCTTTTTGACAATGTAATGCCACCACACAACAGCAATCGAGGCAAATTTAGTCTTGCTTCACCACATTTTATAGGTTAAAGACGACCAATAACTCAAACAATCTTCTTTTTGGACAGTTTAGTGCGACCGTCAGTTAAAATCTACCCAACAACGGCAATCGAAGAGAATTTATTCCCCCCTCTTTTTGTTCACAAAAATAATGCACCATATTTTATAGGTTAAAGACGACCAATAACACAATCATAATTACTGCTGAATAGTCACTTGTCGGCGCAATACAAACTGTGATTTTCTCCTCTTGTCCTTACTTTCAGATTTATGGTTGTGACGAAAGCAATTATATATTATTTGCTGCCATTGCTTATCATTGGTACTCTTTATTTGCTGATGGCGAAACGTTTGCATATGAGCACACGTGAACTACCCGGCGAAACGTTAACCACACAATCTCGCTCACAAATGCGTTCTCGACGCTATCTGGCAAGAATGGTGATTTGGTTTGTTATAGGTATGTAAATATTGTTCGCAATACTGATGTAAACAAGTGAAAGATTAACTAATTGACTGCGAATTTGAATGACTTTGATAGACGTAGACGTGATTATTAGATGACACAACTTATATTTGTTAACGGTTAGTTAACTGTTAGAGTGTTTAAATCATTTTTAGAATTTAGAATCCGAAATTTCGCCTTGTACCTGCGAGGAATAGTGACTATTTTAATAACTTAATTATTTATTAACACACCTTTGGTAAAATAATTTATTTATAGAAAAAAAAATTTCTTTTTAAAGATTTAAAAATTTCGAGTAAGTTGAGAAGGTCACAATGTATTTTAAACAGAAGCCAGAACATTATAGACCATTTGACACCCTACTCCATTTCGCCTAGTATAGCTACTTATCATGAAGGGCTGCCTATTGGAGCATGACCAAAACATCCCATGGCGTGATCCCAATTTAGCAAGCTTAACTTACTTCCCAGAATTTTTACTACTTTAGAGATTTCGTCATAAAAAAACTAAAAATTAGATTATCCCTTCATATAAGAGCTTGCTCTTCACGATAATTCTTATATATATTGGAGTCCAATAAATGGACCCAAGTGCTACAAATTCCCTATCGCCAATTTTTTTGCTAAGTTAATACTATAGACCTATTCTGATCATAAAATGTAAAGATTAAAACTTTTTTTGAAGTGCTTAATGTTCATGAGAATAACTTATAAGAAATGGGGTCCAACAAATAGACCCATGCGGTTCAAATTGGTTCCACTTATTTGTTAAATAAAATTACTATCGTGAACAAGTTTTCATCACAAACACGTTACCAATTAGGCATAAAAGTGATTTTTTATGTCCTGAAAGGTGATATCCAAAAAATAGCCCTACGTGGTCTAAATTCGTTAAGATTGATATCCTTATCAATTTTGTATTTTGAACGAATGTTCATCATGAAATACTGAAATTTAGATATTCTTGCCACAAAAAGATTCCATTTTCGTAGGACCGATTACCTTTGAAGGGATTGCAAAAAATCGTCACATTCGGTCCGAATTTTCCTCACTAATATAGAGTGCTAAAATACTATTACTTAGAGGTTTATCCCGAGGAATTTTAAAATATGCAAAGTATTTTTTATACCATGACTTTTCGAAATTTTCGATAGCTTTCGTCCTTGGGTGAGAGGACGTTACTGTACCAAGCAAGTTTCAACAAAATATTTCAAAAACTGCAACCTGTAGAATGAACAGAAGAATACATGGACTAAAGTCAGACGGACAGACAAACTAATTCTGAACCGATCGGTATGATGAAAATTGGGTCTAGTTTAAGCCCATTCTCGATGTTACATATGTCCACACAAACTTAATACATACGGCATGTGTTATTGGTAAATCATCAGGTCATAGGTATACTTTTTATATAAAAGATTTATTTTATTATTAACTTTTTAATAAAAAACCTCTTTACCTCTTTTATATTGTATATCTTGTTATAGTGTTTTTCATTTGTTTCTTTCCTTATCATTTATTCGAGTTGTGGTTCTATTTTAATCCCACGGCAACGGACGATTTTGACGACTTTTGGCATATTGTCAGAATAACAGGATTTTGTACATCGTAAGTATTAAAGAACATTTAAAATGCTTTACCACGTTCGGCGAACATTATCCAAAGTTAACAATTTAATGAACATTTTTTCATGCAAACAATTGCTTGCCGAAAAAAGTCCGATGAGGCCGAGGATGACAAAAGCTATGCTCCAAATTTAGTTAGCTTAACTAATTACTTGTCAAAAACGTATTCTTTACCTATTTGCGTCATTAATTAGTACTGGAATAGAACTGGAACTACTTCTCTAAAGAGTTGCTTTTCCTAAATATCTTTACATGAGAGAAATTTCTAAACTAAATATTAATTTAATGGGACCGGTTGTCCTTTAAGAGCCATTCACTCCTTACCGATTTTTGAATAATCATTGCCCAGTAGAAGCTCTTCTTCACATTGCGGCTGACTTTCGTAAAGTAATTTTTTTTGAAAAACTCATTATTCATCATCTTCTACGTGCAAGAACACGTGATCTTCTTACCGCATAAAGCTTTTATTATACCCGTCACCGAAGAATGGGGGTATTTTCATTTTCAGTCAGTACGTTTACAAGGTCCACAAGGAAACATCAGAGACCCCGCAAGGCATACATACATCAAATTCTAAATCGATTTAAGCAGTTCCGTCTGCCTGCCTGTGTGGGCATCCGCCTATGTAACGTCTGCTTTAGAAATTGTCCTTGCCGCAAAAATCAAGCTATCAACTTCAAGTTCCACAGAAACATTTAAAGTTCTTACAGCTTGGTGTTGAAAATGGGCCAAATCCGTCGAAGAGGACCTCCACAGTACCATGTTAATTGGAAACATCTTTTTCAAAAGGAATGAAAAATTGTTTTTTTACTCATTAATTCAAACTTGAACACATTTTCTATGGCTGATGTTGTACGGCCTATACAAAAAATTGACCACGTCTATGTCATATTATAGTGCATCAAAATTTGAATTTTTTTTTTTCAATGCCTTTATACGTCGTACAACCAAGCTTCAACAACCCTATAAAGTATATAAATTCTTGTCCAGTTTCAAAATTTGGAATACTCCTGAGTATGTTCGTCTCTTCGTTTATCCACTTGTCTATCTGCGCAGCTGTGTAATGTCTGTGGTGACGATTGTACCGTTAGCGAAAAATAAAGGTATTTATTATTTACAAATTTTCAAAAAAAATTTGGAAATAACTTAAACTTTTCCAAAAACACATCTATAACGCCCACACGCCTTCTATTTTGAAAATAGAAAAAATCAGCCGCGCCCTCTCAATATCGTAGAGCATAAAGATTTAGTTCTTCTGGTTTTTTTGTTTTTTTCCGGAGATCGATATAAAAGCCTGTTTTTGTAAGAAGCTTTACGCAGGAGCGATATTAAAATGCAACCATATTCCCCCGAAATATTCCAGATTTATTGAAAAGACCAGAATACAATTTTCCACTAGTTTTTACATTTTTAAAATTGGACGTTAATTAGAACCTAGTACATACGATGGCGCAAGTGATACAGAAGGATATAAAAAGTCTAGACAACAACCAGAAAGTAAAAAACTGAGTTAAGCGAGTCGATGAGCATAAGAGAAAAAGTCAAATAGTTTGATCACATCACTGATCTGGCGAAAGATTAAATTTTTAGTAAATAACTAAAGTGTATACAGGGGACTCTCTAGAGGAACTCCCATAATGGACACAAAATTATTAAAAACAATTTAACCCTGATAACGGTTAACTCAATTTTTGCTTTCTTCACAGAAAGAACTGTATTTTCTAAATCATTCTACATAGCGACCTAACGGCCCTTATCTGTCAGCATTTGCTTGCCATCCCGCAACACTTTTCAAATACATGTCGCTAGCGGAGAGTTTTCCGTGGCCGAAAATGAAGAATTCACCCACCATAAGCAGTGCTGCTAGCTAAGCCCTCTCTTCGCCTCTCCTCACATTTAACGGCTAAGTAAACAATCATTAAAAACGTAAAGCTCTTTAAAATAAAAATTTTCTTACTCTTTGAAGACCAAGTAGATGAAATGAAATGAAATGAAATGAAATAGTTTTTGTGTAAAGATCGTGCAACTACCCTTCGATAAACATTATATTTTTAGTTCAAAAAAAATTGATGCATTGCTGATTGTTGCGACTGTCAGCACTGGTTACACATCCTGTTAAGTTATTAAAATGCAAGCAATTTACTGATTTTTGCAAAGCGAATCGAGACTCTACTGTGACCTCGTTCATTAAACTGCCTATAGTTCGGTTGTAATCAATGATTTATGCATTAAATTTTTGTTTTCTTTTCTTCTACCTTTGATTACAGTTTTCTCAATTCCTGCATTAATCCGGTGACCTTATATTGGATTTCGGGAACTTTTCGAGCTCATTTCAATCGGTATCTGTGTTGTCGTTGTACCAAACGTCAATTGGTACATACGAGACAACACTCTACAACAACTGGCGTTATGAATATGTCGTCTCTACGACATCACTCCACCACCAGCAGCAGTTATCATAAGCGTATCTCTTTGCATGCGAATAGTACACAATTGAATGTATCGAATGGAAGGCACGAAGAAGAGGGAGAATATAATGCTAATGGAGCACATAATAGTAGAATGAGATGAGACTCACAATCTGTGGCCTTGTAGGTCAATGAAATTTTGTAAAAGGAGAACGACAAATCGAAAGTCTAACGCACATATATATATGAATTAACGATAGACTGACAACCTATGCAAACAGAATGTTAAATAAGATGTACATATGTACACTAGGTTTATAAACACTCAAGCATGTAATGAATAGTGCAATAGTATGTCTGCTTAATTTACAGTGCTTTAGAGAATTATAACCGCATTGAAGAGTTTACTTAGCCTGTTGCCTGCATGGCTAAATCAAGTTTACTCAGCAAACCTCAAAACATTACTCTTTCTCATCCCATTTGAAATTGCCAATAATATCATCTGATTGCAATTATGTTTCAAAGTAACAGGCTTGTCTGTCTGGCTGAGAGAAAATTAAAATCATATCGTTTGCCTGAAATTGTTATATCAGCAATTTTTAAATCATTTAAAACTCTATCCTCCCAGTCGTTTAAATGTAAACATATTGTGTTAGATTAACCAGAGGATAATATGGACATTCTGTTGCTCGTTCTATATCGTTGATATTATTGTGTTAATTATACATACATGGTAGGGTAAGCCCGAATGCAATTTAAGTAAAGTTAGGTAAAAGAAAAAAAAAAAAAACCCCGAGCTTTGCAATCTCTAGACAAAATTACGGAAAATTAATATATGTAACTAGATTAATAAGTATATTTAAGGAAAACAAGCAATGTTTTCATATTTCTATACACAAACACTATATCTATTCGCATACGTACGCCTACGTCTACGCGTAATGCATAGCGAAAACGCTCGCTGACGACACGAGGATGCAATAAGACTCTAATAACCGTTAACCTTTTAAAACGAGTACACATTATTTGCACACATCCCTATAAATAATTTTAATGTTGTGTAAAAAAAAAAAAAAAAACCAAAGGCATCTAAAGGTACGAGTGAACAATGCTAAACGTAACCAGCGCATGCGAATATGCAAACACAGGCGTATTCTTGTGTTTATATTTAGCTAGTTTTAGTCGAACGCGTTATTTAAAAGCTATTCCCGTTGTTTATGTCAATAGTAGTAAATAGTAAATAAGAGTGAAACAAATAAAATATAATTTCTGCAAAATTAAATTGAACGTTTTTTTTCATGGACTTGTCTTTTAGCGTTTTTACTCAACTTGCATAATATATATATATATGTACACTGCGCGCGCCCCTCTATGTTATTCTTAAATGGTGGGAAGTTTTCCGCCAGTTCACACCGTATATGATATTTATTTGTTTATTTATTTATTTACTTATACATGCATACATACATACATACATACATACATAATATAAGAGAAGCCAAGTTGAGTGAATTCTTAAAAATAAATCTTACACTAAATTTTAGGATTTAACTCTTAACTCTTAACTTAAATTAATAGCATACGAAGCGAGCGTTCGCCATAACTCTTTACTTTTGCACTTTGACTTGAGCTGAAATGAAATCTCTGTATTTCAAGGGCACCTACAATTCAACTTTTATTGTTATTATCATCAAGACCATGAATCTTACACTAAATACTTTCATTGGATCGTATCGCTCTCCACCGAATGTTGACACACAAACTTTCGTGATGGTAGTCGGAGATTGCGTGTGGTTTTCTTGATGGTAAACAAAATGTAATTTTAACCCGAAATTTCATTGCTACACATTGCTCGTATTGTGATCATCCTCAGAGTTAGCAGTTTTGATTCAACTGTCCTTTAATTGGAATACTATTGATAAAAGTCAATTTCAATGTTACAACATTCGGTATAAAAAAGATAGGAAATTTCATCTCAGGCAAATTGTCATTGGACTGTCTTTCTATTGTTGATCTACCGTACGATTTATCATCAATTCAAAGAACGCTAGAACCCATTTTTCTGATATCTGGGCTTTCCCCAAATTTTCCGCAAACATCAAGCCGCGCTAGAAAGAAAATTTAATCAATATATCCCGTCAACTTCATCGAGGTTATGAAAGCACTGAAGGAATGTAGGCCCACAGTTAGGAAGGTGAAAAGTAAACACAATGATGAGATGTGTACCAGTAGCAGTTCACGTTTTTTCCAGAAGGTTATTAATGACGACCGGCAAGGAAGTCGAAAAACAAACGCGCGAGGAGTATGACAAAAAAAGAGTTATATACCAAGTGACAATCATATTGACTCACTTCTCCTTATGTAAACTAACATGTATTCTACAATTCAGGATGAGAGCTATTACCGCCACTTTTGACAAAATCAAGGCAGACATTGTCAAAGCACTGTCTAGGGGAAACTTGACTGTCTTGTTACTTGCAATTAATAAGATCATCTTCCTCGAATGGCAGTGCGTTAAAATTGTCTCACTCCTAATGCAGCTGAAGATTTAACTTTAGCTCTATTTCGCCAAATTCGATGGGTTCAAAAAGATAATTAATCTCATGGATAAGGGCAGGCATTGAGAACACAATTGCAACTCATTCCTATGCTTTTCGAAAAGCGCAAAAACTCCGAACGTGTCTACCAATGAACTGTACTTTTTCATAACGAATCCAAAAAAAGTTCGCAAAAAGGCAAAGCTTAGCAAAGCTTAAGATTGTGTTAACTTGACGAAGAGGTCTTCTAAACTTTTCACAAGCTCCGCCTGAGTAGCCGAAGGCGAGGAATCTCGACTAACAAGTCAATGGTCGTGGATTCGAATCTCAAGTGCGGTAGAGTTTTTAATAAAAGCCAATAGCCTTAGATGCTAGTGCTTTTAAGAGTTTAGTCTTAGAATTTATTTCTCTGGCGAAATTAATAATAACAACAATAATAATAAATAAACTTTTCAATTCCCCTTCAAGTGCGTCTGGAGGCCTTACATTTTTTATCTCAGGTCGTCTTGGTAACGTGTGCAGACAGAGTTGTAGTTGCGAATTTGAAGAGATGGCAGTCCGCTGGAGTCCGACCCTCCTCAATTTGTACACAGCTAAACTACACGACTTTGAAGACGATAGAACTCATGTCTTTTAATCCGCTTACCGTATTTTAAAATAGTCTCTTTTCCAGATGCTGTGGATATTCCCCCACTAAAAACAACCTTTTTCTTATGCCTGTGCCGATCTTATTTTATATTTTAACCCTGGCAAAGCCAACAGAATTTGTTTTGCGAAAGACTCCAAACGTGAAAATAATTTCCACATCAAAGGAACTGAAGTCAATCGGGTGAAATATTACCGATCTCTGGGCAGTCTAATGTTTCGAGAGCGTTATGAGAAAATCTTCAAAGACTTGCAATTCGCATGAATCTAGTGATAAGTAATCAATCATGAGGGTTTCCTAAGAAAGCTCTGACAGTGAGTAGGAGTAAGAAATAGCAAAAAAAAGTTTCGGAATATAGTGAAAATTGCGCACGACTGCTTTTGTTGATGGTTGATTTCTGTTAATTAGTCACGACTAGCACTCACATGAACACGCAGTTTATTCTCTTCTCCCTTACAAATCGCCACCAAATTTATGCCTTCTTCGATGTAGATTTCTTACGATTCTGATGCACGCATTAAATATGTCCATCAATGATGCATAAGATTGGTCGTTACTTCTACTGTTCACACGCGACAATGGTTGCGCTTTTTTATTCCTATCACCGAAGGAGGAATATATTCAGTTTGTCAAAACGTTTACAACGAACAGAAAGAAGCATCAGGGACTTCACGAATTATACATATTCCTCATCAGCATCAAGTGCTAAATCGATTTAAATATGTACATCTGTCCATCTGTCTATCTGTCCGTCTGTGTAATCTCTGTTGTAAACAATCTCTTGGCCGCAAAAATGAAGCTATCGGTTTTGGTAGAGAGAAATTGGGCCGAAGGACACGCCTACACTGAGGATACCTTTGTTTTTCAAAAGAAATAAATAATTTGGTCTTTCTTATCTGCTCCTAAACTGGACCGGATATATTTTCGAGAATTTGAACATGCATTTTATAAGCGATGCTTTGGCACCTATATAAAAAATTGCCCACGCCTATATAATATTATAGTGTATCAAAATTTAAATTTTTCTTCAATACCTTTATTATAAGACGCAATTTTCTAAACCCCATAAAGTATATAAATTCTTGATTAGTCCATGTCCGTATGTCCAACGTCTATGGTAAATATTCACAAATAAAACCTGCGTGAACAACTTTTCCTTGTTTTTTCGTTTGATATTCAAAAGAAAAAAAAAAACGCATACTCCATAAAAATTTACACTTTTTTTCTAAAGATCGAAAAAATCAATTGCGCCCATCCAATGCTATAGAGTACAAAAATTTAGTTTTTTTTGGGTGATGGGAATGTAATTTTCTTGTTTGTTTTAATTTATGAAAATATTTAATCCATATTTAATATAATTAAATGGGAAAATGTTACAAAAAATATATAAAGTAAGTAAAAGCATTAATTAAATTTTAATAAATGCAATTATGGAAAGTTCTTCAAAATTTTGCTAAGAATATAAATGAAATTAAATGCATGCTTAAATTTTAATCAAAGACATTATGGATAGCTCTTGAATTTCTTAAAATAATGCAATAAAAAGTAATATAGATTGTCAGAGTATACAATAAAAAATATTTTTTGATTTGATCTTCTCAGTTTCTATAAACTGCTATGAAAATTGTCGAGTTCGTAGAGTGCTGCGTTTATGAATCTACGGTAAATTTTCGGTTGGTTTGTCGCTTAAAACAAATATTATTATTTTCTAAACCGCTCATTATTGCTAATGATGTTTACGCGCCTGATGGAAGCGACTTTCATTAAGAACACTGTCATATGATATAATTGACTTTTCTTATTTCCTTCACTGAAACGTAGTCTCTTTTATATGCGGTTTCGTTAGACCATACGATTATTTCAGTACAATTCAGCATAAAAGAGAAAATTCTTCAAAGAGAAACTTGGTCAACCTTTGTCCGTAGGCTTAAAGCGTAAATTGAATGATTTTATATTGAAATCTAGAAAAAGTACTGAATTCAATTCAAATGCATAAAGTAAATGTGTTAGAGCAATAATTGTTTGAGTATGAATACATAGATGTTTTTTTGGTGATTCAAATCTCAATACGATAGAGTTTACTTTAGTTGTACATATAGCGAATGGTCAGTCGGTAAAAGCATAAGATTTTACGTCAGCCTATTACACGGTAGTGATTGCTCATATAACAAAAACAAGTAAGAAAATTATATTCGGTTATGAGCGAATCTTTTACACCCATCCTCATTTCCCTACAAGAGGAAAAAAAAAACGAAATAAATTTTCTTGCTTTATAATGTGAAGAAGTGGGGTTGGTTGGTTTGTTCTATTTTCAAAATAAAATTTTTTATCGCATAGGCGTGTGGGCGCTGTAGGCGTGTTCTTGGAAAAGTTTGAGTCACTTCCGAATTCTTTTGCCAATTCATTTTCGCTAACGGAACAGATGCTACACATATGACCAGGCGGACAGATGGACATGTTTAGGTACATTCCAAATTTGAAACTGGCTAATGAATGCAGAAGGAACGAAAATGGATTTCTCCACGTCTATCCGAGAGGAACAAAAATCGTATTACGTTCAATAAATTATTACGGGTGGTGAAAAAGGGATCCTATACAGGGCTGCCACTGTTCAGCAAAGCTAATCAGAAAAAGTTACTGTGAGTTTCA